CAATGTTGACCCCAGGACTTTTTATTGAACAAAATTGGATAACTCACTAGAAGATGTTTTATGCCATATATTTAAGCTCTAGCTCTTTGGATTTCTTAAAAAAAGATATTTTAATTTTTTTCTTTTGGTTGTCATGGCAACCAAAGTTTTGCATGGAATGGAATTCTTTGAACAACTTTGTTAAGTCTTCACACAAGGAACATCCCTGTGAAGTTTCATTATGATCTGCCTTATGGTTTCAGAGGAGATGTCGTTTGAAAAGTGTGAACGGACAACGGACGACGTACGACGGACACCAGACGACGGACGACAGACGACGGACGGAGAGTGATCCTAATAGCTCACCCTGAGCATATGCTCAGGTGAGCTAAAAACGAACATAATTCATAATAAACAATCAGGATTTTGTAAAAATCATTCATGTATTACTGCACTCATTAGTTTAATAGATACTTGGTTAAAAGATGTTGACAGTGGAAAAATTATCGGGACTGTATTCTTAGACTTAAAGAAAGACTTTGATTTGGTTGACCATGAAATACTTTTGCATAAACTTAAACTTTATCATTTTTCTGAAAATGCCGTTAAGTTTTTTAAGTCATATCTTTCTAACAGAATACAACTGGTTAAGATAGGTAATCTGCAATCTCAGACAATGAAAATAATTTCCGGTGTTCCACAAGGCTCAATATTAGGACCTTTATTATTTCTAATATACATAAATGACATAGCTTTCATTGGTAATGATATAAAAATTGATTTACACGCAGACGATTCTACTCTTTATGAGTCCGGAGAAAATATATCAAAAGTAGAAATAAAACTTCAAGATCATTTAAATAACATTGACAAATGGTGCAAAATAAATAATATGGCCTTGATTCCAGATAAATCAAAATGTATGGTAATAAGAACAAGACAAAAAGTAAATATTATGAGAAAATTAATTCTTAAGATAAATGAAATAGCTCTTGAAAATGTAACTGATCAAAAAGTCTTGGGTATTTGCATAGATAACAACTTAAAATGGCACATGCAAATTGACAATGTTTGTAAAAAACTTAACGGAAAAATTGCCTTATTGAAAAAAAAAATCGTATTTTTTGCACTTTGATATGAAATTATTGTTTTACAATGCATATAATTATATTGCCCATTATGGACTATTGTTGTATTATATGGGGTAAAGGAAACACAAACTACATAAATAATGTTTGTAAGTTACAAAAACGAATTGCTAAAATCATTTTACAGCAACCTCAAAGATCTCCGTCAATAAATCTATTCGAAACTCTTAACTGGTTACCGTTCCTTGACAGATGTAAATACCACACGGCGGTGCTTGTTTTTAAAACTTTAAATAACATGGCACCGACTTATATGACAGAACTGATGACTTTATCCGACAACAAAATATATAACTTAAGATGTACGAAAAGATAGTGTATTATGGCCAAGACCTAAAACAAATTATATTAAAGACACATTTTCTTATTATGGTATGAACATTTTGAACAATATACCTTTAAATATTCGTAATGTTAATAACCTTAAATGTCTTAAAGAAAAATACAAAGCATATCTTGATGTTCATATGAATGAATGAGTGAGTGAATGAATGAATTAATAAATGAACGAACGAATGAACGAACGTACGAATGATGCAATATAAGTATATGTTTAACAAATTGTTGAGTGTCTGTCGAAAGTATATGAGTTGTATTATTCTAAAAATTACATATTATAAATTCATTTTTCTACCTATGCATGTCCTGTTGTTGTTGTTGTTGTTGTTTTCTATTTTAGAAGGCCACATTGGAAATAAGATATATATGATTGTTATTGTATGTTCTTAATGTGAAACCTTCTTTAAATAAAGATATTATTATTATTATTATTATTATATAGAGTATCCTCTATCCACATCATCAGTGTCATAATATAAAGTATCCTCTATCCACATCATCAGTGTCATAATATAAAGTATCCTCTATCCACATCATCAGTGTCATAATATATAGTATCCTCTATCCACATCATCAGTGTCATAATATAAAGTATCCTCTATCCACATCATCAGTGTCATAATATAAAATGTCCTCTATCCACATCATCAGTGTCATAATATAAAGTATCCTCTATCCGCATTGTCAGTGTCACAATATACAGTATCCCCTATCCACATTGTCAGTTTCATAATAAAAAGTATCCTCTATCCACATTGTCAGTATCATAATAAAAAGTGTCCTCAATCCACATTATCAGTGTCTTCAAACTTTGCTTTTGCACTTTTAGATTTATCACAGGATCTCGCTTATGTTCAGCTTTCATTGTTTTTGCCATTTATGTAACCATAGCAACCATCTTTTCTTCTAGAGTGCAACATTTTCATATGGTCCTCTATCCTAGTTTTTGCAGGTTTCACATTTGTTCAGTTTATATTGGTTTCCATATACCTAATTCAACTTTAAGTTTTGTAGTTTCTGAGAAGGATTTAACTTTTAAAAGCTATTTTGAGCTCCTGTGACCTATTTGAAAGTAAGATTTGAACAATTCACATAACATTTATAGTGGAACATTCCAGTGAGAATTTGTAACAAGAGGGCCATGATGGCCCTGAAGTCGCTCACCTGTATATAGGCCTCCCGGAGCGGGGCCAGTTTAAACCCCAGGGCTTTTATTTGAACAAACTTGGTAGACACCCATTAGAAGATGTTTCATGCTAAACATCTAAGGTCTAGCTCATTGGGTTTTTTAAAAGAAGATTTTTTAAGTTTTTTCTTTACACATATATATTTAAAAACAATGACACCCCTGGGGCAGGGCCAGTTTTGACCCCAGGGCTTTTATTTGAACAATCTTTGTAGACACTTACTAGAAGATGTTTCACGCTTAATATCTAAACTCTAGCTATTCGGGTTTTTTCGAAGAAGATTTTTAAGTTTTTGCTATACACATATAAGGAAAATCAATGTCCCCAGGGCGGGACCAATTTTGACCCCAGGTCTCTTATTTGAACAAACTTGGTAAACATCCATTACAACATGTTTCATGCTAAATATCTTAGCTCTAGCTCTTTGGGTTCTTTAAAAGACGATTTTTAAGTTTTTACTATATACATAGACCACCTGGGGCGGGGCCAATTTTGACCCCAGGGCTTTTATTTGAACAAACTTGGTAGACACCCATTAGAAGATGTTTCATCTTAAATATCATAGCTCTAGCTCTTTTGGTTCTTTAAAAGAAGATTTTTTAAGTTTTTACTATATGCATATAGGAAAAATCAATGACCCCCTGGGGCGGGGCCAATTTTGACCCCAGGGCTTTTATTTGAACAAACTTGGTAGATACTCACTAGAAGATGTTTCATGCCAAATATCTAAGCTCTAGCTCTTTGGGTTATTTAGAAGAAGATAATTAAAGTTTTTTCTTTTGGTTGCCATGGCAACCAGAGTTCTACATGGAATTAAATTCTTTGAACAATTTTCAAAGGTGACCACCAAAGGAACATTTCTGTGAAGTTTGGTTGAAATTATTGGCTTAGTGGTTTATGAGGAGATGTCATTTAAAGTAAAAGTTTACGGACGATGGACGGACGCCGGACAGACGGACGCCGGACGAAAAGCAATTAAATAAGCTCACCCTGTCACAAAGTGACAGGTGAGCTAAAAATGTACCTTAAGGTTTAGGAAAAGATGTTATTTAAATAATTTGAGGTAACAATGAACCACAGACACATGATTACATGACCTTAGTTTTGCACACTTTGTGCTCAGATGTAATAAATTTGGAAAACAAATTTTGTCAGGAATTTACCATAGTAACAACCAATTGAACTACTTTTATTTATCAAAGTACTATTAAGTACTGATATGAGGCAACATTTGAATTTTGAAAGATATATTTTGTACATTCTGGTCCAAGCCCTCACATTGACTTTATCACACTACAGTAATGTACTGGTCAGGGGAAGTAACTACTGCAGATAGTTTATATTCTAGCTAGACATGACAAATATAACAGATATAGTAGTATTTCATAATAAAATTCCTACAAATGACGGCCGGACGGACAAGCTGATTCCAGTATACCCCCCTTACAACTTTGTTGTGCGGGGGTATAATAAATAGTAGTGAAAATTGCATTGCCAGAATTGCCCCAGAGCGTAAGGGGAATTCATGTGGATAATGACATTTTGGAAATCACGTTCGCACAGTACTAATGTACTTGTAAATAAACTTTTTGTACAGGTAATTCTAAGAATATGCTTCCTCCAAATAACATCACCTACAATAACCTTGTCATTACGCAACAAAGATTCCAAATGTCCCAGTTCGTTAACCTATATATCTGAAAAAAATTTTCATTGGTAGGAAAACTCAAACCGATTGTTAAGTTATGCTTATTTTATGAACTAATTTTCATATAGTTTTTCAAATAGTAGAATAATTCAAATTAAATTGCATATAGAGAAGTGGGATTCATTACTGATGGAAAGTTTACAAGAAGGCATCAAGGACATAAGTGTGCTTTAAAGAACAACAGCAAAATCTCTGATAGCAAAATCTCCGTCTCATCATGCTTCACATTTTTTCCAAGTTATTTCAAAACCCCTTGATGCATGACAGAATTACAGGCCAGACAATATTTTTTGACTGCTGAACTTTGACCTCTTAGTGTGACCTTGACATTGGAGCTAAGGATCTAAGAATTGTGCATGACACACCATCTCATTATGCCAAATATTTGTGCCAAAATAAAATCCTTTATTCAAGAGTTATGGGCCAGACAAGGTTTTGAACACACACACATCCATCCACAGATGCACAAACAGACAGACAGGGGCAACATTATATGCCACTTCAATTATCATGTGGGGGCATGAAAACTTTAAAAATGTTAAAACTGTTGCTGGAAGTATATAGACATATATCAGAGATTCTTGAAATAAAAAGACCTTGATTATACATTTGCAAGCTAGAAATATCTAATGAAAGTACCTGATAACATAATTCATGCAGACAATGTACTGAGGTTTATTTGCAGTATTGTAGATGATTGTTGCCCTAGTCTGCAGCCACACCCAATTATCCGCTTTGCCAAGGAATCTGTAATATTTACTCACTGATGTCCCCTTGATTATTACTGAAAATGTAAAAATAATTCACATGTATATAATACACTATATAATTTGGTTTTATTTACTGGAATTCACTCAAATATTACTTTCAAAATCAAGACTGGCTCTGAATATTTGCTATGTCCCATCAACAATGATTTAACTATATGTACTATGCATTTCACTGACATAAATAAGCTAATGTAATGTGCAACTTTTGTTGATACGATTTTTGTAATGTGATAGATATGATTTTGTAAAATGCAACTTTCGTTGATATTATTTATTGGGTTTGGCTTTTGTTTGATATAAATATGTGAGGTTTGGCTTTTGATTGATATGAAAATGTGAGGTTTTTGCTTTTGATTGATATGAAAATGTGAGGATGGACTTTTGTTTAATGAAGATTTAAGGATTGGCTTTTGTTTGATATGAAGATGTGAGGATTGGCTTTTGTTTAATGTGAGGATTGCCTTTTGTTTGATATGAAGATGTGAGGATTGCATTTTGTTTGATATGATGATGTGAAGATTGCCTTTTGTTTGATGTGATGAAGTGAAGATTGCCTTTTGTTTGATGTGATGATGTGAGGATTGCCTTTTGTTTGATATGATGATGTGATGATTGCCTTTTGTTTGATATGAAGATGTGAGGATTGCCTTTTGTTTGATATGATGATGTGATGATTGCCTTTTGTTTGATATGATGATGTGAGGATTGGCTTTTGTTTGATATGATGATGTGAGGATTGGCTTTTGTTTGATATGATGATGTGAGGATTGGCTTTTGTTTGATATGAGATTGGATGTGAGGATTGGCTTTTGTTTGATATGATGATGTGAGGATTGGCTTACTGTTTGATATATGATGTGAGGATTGTCTTTTGTTTGATATGATGAATGTGAGGATTGGCTTTTTGGATATTTGATGGAGATTGCTTTTGATATGATGATGTGAGGATTGGCTTTTGTTTGATATGATGATGTGAGGATTGGCTTTTGTTTGATAAGATGATGTGAGGATTGGCTTTTGATCAATATGAAGATGTGAGGATTGGCTTTTCTTTCATATGATGGTGTGAGGATTGGCTTTTGTTTGAAATGAAGTTTTGAAGATTGTCTTTTGTTTGATATGAAGATGTGAGGATTGGCTTCTGATCAATATGAAGATGTGAGGATTGGCTTTTGGTTGATATGAAGTTGTGAGGATTGGCTTTTGTTTGATATGAAGATGTGAGGATTGGCTTTTGTTTGATATGATGATGTGAGGATTGGCTTTTGTTTGATATGAAGATGTGAGGATTGGCTTTTGTTTGATATGAAGATGTGAGGATTGGCTTTTGATAGATATGAAGATGTGAGGATTTGCTTTTGTTTGATATGATGATGTGAGGATGGTTTTTTTTTTTATATAATAATGTTAGTTAGGCTTTTGTTTGATATGATTTTATACTGTCACAATGGGTTTTTATGATATTATTTTGTTAAGTAATTCATTATTTTGTAAAATAATTATTTTTTAAAGTTGGGCTTTGAAGAGATGATTTCATTAGGTTGGGCGTTTGTTTGATATGATTTTGTAAATGTGCAACTTTTGTTGATATGATTTTGTGAGGTTGGGCATTTGTTTGATATAACTTTGTGAGGTTCAGTTTTTGTTTTTATTATTTTGTAAAGTTTGGGTTTGATTCATATAATTTTGTAAGATGGAGCTTTGTCGATATGATTTGTAACATGTACATACTTTGGAAAGGTGTTAATATGACTTTATAACCTGTCAGTTTTGCAAGTTTAGTTTATATGAATTTATGTCAGTTTGTGTTAATTAAAATGAAACTACGTAAAATCCATTCCTCTAACCAACCAGTATTTTATGCAATGAGTAAAAAGTTTCTTGCTCATGGAAAAAATAGCTTGCCTCAATGGGGTTTGTACCCATTGGCCAGCAATCCTAAGAATAGTATGTTACCCACTTTGCCACATAAAATAATGCTTTTATTAAATGTGTTCATATGGTAAGGTTGCATTATCTTTGATATGATTATTGTATGAGAAGATGTTTTTGTTGTTAATGCACTTGTTGAAACAGTTTAATAAGGTGAGGCTTTTATTAATAAAGCAATGTTTGGAAATGCACACGCTGATATGACTTGGTAAGATGAGGCTTTTATTAATAAAGGTTTAGTTTATACAGGATTTATTTAGTTTGTCTTTGAAGGAAGCTATAAGCTTATAATAGTCTCAAATCAGCTCCTGCAATGAACACACATGTACTTAGCAAAGGGAACCAAGTTTCTTTCTTAAGGAAACAACGCCTTGATCCTGACAGGGTTTTAATTGACTTGTCCATCTTTCAATCTGTACACAACCATTCATAATTTTTTCAGAAAGTTTAAAAAAAAAACTTACTTAGGAAAGGTGCAGACAATTATCAGACTACAAAGATGTGCCACTAGAAGTATTAGGATTATTAAATTTTGTAATGTAATGCTTTAAAAGGTAGATCTTTCATTAACATGGTTAGTATAGGTGGCCAATTTGTACAACATAGAAAGTTCTGTATTTTATAATGACTCTTTTTGTTGTCTTTTTTCAAGTTGTGTTGTAAGGTGGTCCCCTTTAAAAAATATGATTTTAGTTTGAACATAATTTATTTAGGCTCAATATAGAAAGTTTATTACTTATTTGATCCCCTCTTTTGCCTCCTTCCTGGAATCTATTAGCCAGCCGGTACTGGTGTCATATGCCGTAACATGGTTGTGAAGGGCTTTAACTCATGATCCCTAATTGGTGGGGAGCAAACCACTGCTGACTTTGTTAGTTCGCCTGCCTGTGATTGATATGGATTTGAAAGGTGCCACTTTTTGTAGATATGATTTTGTAAGGGGGCTTTTAATGCCTAGTTGGTTTTTTCAAATGACCATTTTTTTGAAACGGTTTGGTAAGGTGACATTTCATGAATAAACAAATCAATGAAATAATTGAAAATATGTCTGGGTGTCTAAAATGTCTCTTAACTTCCAGGATTAAGACAGATAATACGGCTTGGCAGTTATAATACAACTTTAGAATTCTAATTTTAAACATTTTTACATTATCTTCATCAAGATGAACTCCTACAAATAAATGTTTAGCAATTCTGAATTATATATAATTATTCATAATGACTGTATTAAAAGTTCTGTTATGAAACAGTACAACTGGGATGGGAAACAAACAACAATTATCATCCATTAAATTAAATTAAGTAACAACATTTATATCAAAACAACTGTATTTACAAAATCTAGAAACATTTTTCCAGTGTCCCTACCTTATATGTATGTGCATATACACCTAAGAGATTCCCTGCAGTTGTACAATAACATTCAACTGTAGCTATTCTAGTTTTATGCGAGTTTAGCATGATAGACAATCATAACAAGATTATTAATATCTCAAAAAACACTTCACTTGGTTCAATTGACTATTTCTATTGTAAAGAAATATTGAAAATAGATTTCTTTGTCATGGTCTAGACCAAAGAATCAATATCAATATCAATGCACTTATAACACATTTAAACTTGACCATACTCATTGGACACCTTAAGAAAAACACTCTAGTCTCAGCTCCTTAAGCAAACAAAGAAACAACAATCATCATGCAATTTCCAAGTGGCATGGCTGAATGGTTTATGTAGCAGACTAGTTATCTAAGGATTGCTGGATGAATGGGGTTTAAAGCCCTGTCAGAGGCGAACCTTGGTATCCGTAAGCAAGAAACTTGTTATTAAATTGCTTAGTAGTGGTTTGTTCCAGGAATGAATTTGAGAGTGTTATAAGCTTATATATATCTTCCTACACAAATTAACAAAATACTGTATAATTAATTAATAATAAATGAACACCGAAACAAGCATTTCTCTGATTAATTTCTCAAGTGCATTTTAACTGGTCAATTAGAAGTCTGACTAAATTTCTTTTTTTTAATTTTTAGTACATTAATCTGCAAATGCATTTTGTACACATGCAAAATACTGGTTGGTAACTTTATATAAATGTAAACATTTTCAAAATTTATGAGTCATATGAGTTTCGTAAATGAGTATGAACACATTTAATACTCAAAAAGACAAGTCTACATGTATGTTGGCAATACTTTACATGTTTGGTGTATGCTAATTAGGCAAACAATATTAGGCCAACATTTTACCAATCTACCATCTTATGCCAACAAACTTGAACTGTATCATTGCTTTTGTTGCTGATGACAAAAAACTTCCAAACGTTGTTAAGTAAAATTCATCTTGATGAATAACTAATGAATAATTATCAAGTTTAATGACTTCAAATTGAGGGGTCTATTTTGATGTCAAATAAACTACACACTCTTCCTGAATATGACTTTCCTATGTCATGGTTTGGTATCAAAACTCAATAATTTAGAGACAACATAAACAATAACTGTATGATGTACCACACCTGCATCAATAACAAAATTCCATATTTACACAGCTTGCCATTTACATGTTTCAATTAATATCAAGGACAAGCTGGAAAAATACACACATTAAAGACTCCTACATAAGCCAGCAAAATGTTCCACATGCTATAATGTTCTAGAACTAAAACAATTTATTATGAAATATAATCTCTGAGTAAAAAACACAACAACTAAATTTCTACCTAATTAAAAATTGGGGAAAAAACCCAACCCCTATCGGGGTGAAATGGAAAAAAACAGTGTTTAATATCTCCTTTTACATATCATTCCCTTTCAAAGCAATTCCATATGTACAATATTCCCTATTGTTTCACAATCAATTACTGCTGTCCGTATCTCCACATTTTATACCCAGTTAGCATGACAAGCCGTCATAAAACCATATCATGCAGCTTTTTATTTATCAGAAATCAAAGCAAATAGGGAAAATATTCATTAAAACACAATAAAAAAAATCCTAGTAATACCATGAAATTCTTGCAATATAAAAATCACGTATTTAACAAGGTCTAGACAAAATAGGCAATGTTTGAATGGTTGCATGTAGACCTGTGTCTTTTTGTGCTCATTTCATAATTACAGAAAAGTATTTGTGAGTCATCTCTCTAAAACTACCTTTAATTATAGCACCAGCAACAACCTGAATATGAGGGCTATAATGACACTATATTGCTCATCTGAAATTCAATGCTAGAAAAGATTATAACTTGTACAATGCTAACGCCATGTAGTTTCAGAAACAAAATCTATGCAAAATAGATGCCACAAGACAAAGCCAAATTTGATTCCATGATGAATGATTTACAAAAATAATTTGCAGGGGATCATAAAATAATGCTACTGGGGGATCACAAGATAATGCTACTGGGGGATCATAAGATAATGCTACTGGGGGATCATAAGATAATGCTACTAGGGTATCACAAGATAATGCTACTAGGGGATCACAAGATAATGCTACTAGGGGATCACAAGATAATGCTACTAGGGGATCACAAGATAATGCTACTAGGGGATCACAAGATAATGCTACTAGGGGATCACAAGATAATGCAACTATAATAATACTGAGGGATCACAAGATAATGCTACTAGGGGATCATAAGATCATGCTCTTGGTTATTGTAGTTTCTGATGAGCAAGTTTTAATGATTTTACCATAAAGCCTTTCCAGCTACAACTGTGACCTTCTTTTGCATTACAGCATAAGGTGAGGATTTAATTCCTGTACAGTTAAAATTCATCAAAATCTACAATATGGTTAAAATTTATTTCTATTTTTGGCTCTTGCTGCCATCTTGTACAATTTTCACTAGTTTTGTACAGAGCCAACCAAGAATAATTCCTATCAAGTTTTATCAAATTCTATCAAGGTTATTCAGGGGGAACAGGAAATGTTATTTTCAGATTTTTCAAATTGTAGCTCTGGTGGCCATCTTGTTTCAGAAAGACACAAATTTTAGCTATTTTGTAAAGAAGGGTCCAGAGATCATTGGCCATGAGGATAATGTGTAAATGTAGATGCCATCTAAAAGGCTGATCACAGTAAGTTAAAAGTAAAATGATAAATGGTTTGATCAGTATGTCTCAACAAACATGATAAGTAAGTGGAGACTGTATTAGAATATTCCTTGTAAAACACAGTTTATAATTTAAGACAAATATACTTACAATTGTGGTGACAATCACCCACTTTTGGGGCATCTATCGGGTTATGAAAGTGATACGCTGTTTTACCAATTACTTCACTTGGCTCATACCCAATCAATGTAATTATTCTGAAAAAATAAAGAATTGTACACATTTTTTATGGTGACTTAAAACAATCATATTTCAGTCAGTTAATATGGTGCAAAGTTGAACTGCAGCTGATATTTACCTGCAATTGTTAAAGTGTTATAAAAATGCATTGTGTGTGTGTGCGTTTAGGTTTGTTTCCCCTTGCCATCGGAATAGTTACTATATGGGCCAATATTTAAAAGTATCACTGTTGTGATTCTTTAAATGCAAGACTTTTAATATAAATGAGTTCAATCAAAGTATTCTTACAATAGTTACACATGTATATGGATAAACATAGCCTTTCTTAGCAGATTATATCATAGTTAATTCATTTCATCATCCTGCTATCAAATTAATCTTACATCTTAAGACACATCATAAATAAATCTTATTCCTTTTAAACATGTAATCTTGATAAATTTCCTCACAACTTCCCAAGACATTTCTTACATAGCTAAACATACTGTATGTTCCCAGCAGAACATTATCTCTATTTGTACATATTTCTTTCAAAACATAAGATATTTCATAGAAATATCTGGCCCTGCACTCCCACTCCTTACTTGCAATAATTATGAAACTGGTCAATGTCATGAGAACAGTACCAGGCCAATATCAGACCATCCTATAAAATCAAACTATGCAGTCTATCTCAAAGTCTATCTGGTGTCATATAAATACATGTATTACTTTTAATACCATTTACCATGCTAAATATCTTAAATAAACTTAAAAAGTACTGACTGAACGCTGCCAACAATGCAGACCATGATCATATGGAATGGATGTGCCAGTTGACCTTTGTCAGCACTTGTGGCCTAGCTAGATACAGGCTATGACTTAATAACTACTCCAGTTTCAAACTGCAAGTAGTCTCTTTAAACAAATTTATCAGAATCAATTTAGATAAATCTTACATGACTAATGTATTTTCACTGTCACAGTTATATCCACTACACTGTCAATTTTTCTTGTATATAAAATCAATGGTCTATAGAAATATTTTATAATCAAAATTTTACTGTGAATAGTGATATCTATGATAAGAAAAACAATGTTATTTGAAATGATGTTTATATTAATGTTCGTTTTCTTGTCATTGATAAATATTGGAGTGCATTACACATGCATGATGCATGTGATGGCATGAATTAAACCCTAGTAATTGGATACTTTTAAATTATTATGGCAGATCCTATTGATTGTCATTATAATACTTGATTTCTATGATTAATGTTGTTATAATCAACTTATTTCATTAATGTTAATGTAAAATCATAGAGCACTATCAAAACATCTTAACAACTTCTTGAATCAACTTTAATCTTTTGAATTATGAATAAAAAATTTGAAAATATCAAGTTACGGGTTTTAGCTTATAAATCATCACTTTCGTCCCTTTAGCAGACTCCCTTAAATAACAGTCATGCTTATGATAAAAATATGAAAAATTTGGAAATAAATTATAGTGACATACTGAAGGATGAGTGTACAATGGTGGCCAATCTTATACCACTTACATGAATGGAGAAGGAATTTTTTTATTTCATAAAATTTTGTGAAGAAAAAAGAAAACTTATTTTGGTCCTTTAGGGGTAACAACTGGGGGGAATGCATGATTGAAGCATATAACTTAAATAATGGAAGCAAGAAGATCATATTCTGCTAGTGATACAAATTCTGGGCAAGTTTAGCTCATATCTAATTAAATTTTTTCATTGAATGCGAACACTATGTGCTCAGGTGAGCTTAAAACATCAACAAATACAAAAATAATCTCAACAGCTTAGATCAATAGAGTTTTACGAATTTACAATGAAATTCCATTAGAATAATCACGTCAAAGTGTTAATCTTGAAGATGTTGACAGTTTCCTACCTTCATGGTCGGAGAACTCTTACACAGTCAATGTCACTTCCAGGATATAACATTTCAACGGTTTAGAGCGAATCTGGTCCATCTTTATATAGAAATAGAAGCAGATAGACCAGTTTCGCTCTAAACCTTCAATTTATATTCAGTGTCAGCATATTTGTTCCTCCATGACAAGAGATGGTTTACAAGGAAGATCTTAATCAAAATGTTAACATGTTGATAACCTTTAAAAAACAGTTTAATTTCTGTAAGAAAATTCATTTTTTGGCAGCTTGTGGGAATATTTTTATGGATTGGGAATAATTGGGCAGAAAAAGCACTGATCAAAGAATATCTGTTACAAAGTGTGAACATGTTTGTACCTCCATGACTAGAGATCTTTTTACAAAGTGTATTCTTACAGATGTTCTCTAGAAAACATTTTTGCGCCTCCATGAAAGGAGATCATTTAAAAATGTTATTATGTTTTATGTGCATGAGAGGAGATAATTAACAAAGTGTTAGCATGTTTGTAGCATATCTTTTACATCTCTTCATGCTTAGAAAAGCTGAATATTCTATCAAGTTGACCGATGGTAACAACGTTCAGCAATTATTGTCATAAAATCAGCGGAAGAGGTGAAATGGATCTGAACAAGGTAATATTCTCATAAGATTTAAAATACCAATGAGATCAATATAAGAGTGTAGTACGTGACAGTTTCCATCTCTCATACATTTATCACAAAGTGTCCCTGGAGGGAGTTAAACACCTCTTATACAGCATCCTACCTGTACAAACAATCAAAAACCAATTAATTTACAATTTACTTTATCTATTTTATTTCAACAAAAGATGAAAAGGAAAATTAGAATACTAATCACACAATTAAGCATTAAGACAGTTTTTGTGTAGGTAACAGCCAATACTGTCACTGTACTTTGAGAACAATTTTCATCTACATAAAATGTCTGCATAGTCTGCTTGAATTTTATGACATGTATAAATGTAGCAGAGCTTAAACTTTTCTGCTTATAAAAAAATGTGAACATTACAAAAACAAATGCAAATGCAAAAATATCATTTGTCAGAAACAAATGAATTTATTTTGTCATAACATTTAGAACTTATTAAGTTGTTTTGAGAGCTATATGTCAAACTGTCATTTTATCAACTGATAATATTTTGGGAGAAAACTATTTATTTCAGGTAATAGATTTCATACCTGCATTTTGTGTTGGTTTCTATTTTATGTTATATTAATTTTGTACTGTGCTACTCAGTCAGTACTTATTTTAATTTTTCACTAATGAATGATGAATGGTTTTCTCCAGATTAAAAGTTTGAAAAGTCAACTTAAGTAATTTAGCATGGTAAGTGTTAATTAATTAAACACCAGGTAACATTAAAGTGTTCAGAGTACCAGTATCAAACTTAAGTTATAGCCGACTTCTCCACTTTCCTGATCAACAGTGATGGAGAACCAGTGTTGGGCACTAACATACAGTACATCTTTGTGAAACAACACCATTTGTAAGACAAACATTCCAGTTATAGCTAGGCAATGTTGTTCTACAGAGGTAACATTTACTATGCAGCCTTACTTGGGAAGTACTGATACTGTAGATGCACCTACAGGTAATTGCTATGCAGTTGGCCAGTTTACAGAGGTTACACCATATTTTTCTGAGAGTTATAATGTAATATTGTTCTACTGACTCAAATATTTAAATGCATGGCACATATATAACTTATACCTTATACTCCATGAACTGTGCAGGGTTTTAAGTCTCTTTCATGACTGTAGTCAAATATAGATGGTAAACAGCTTGAGGTAACATTAATCTTACATAAATCAACCAATATTGATGAATGTAATGTTTGTAAATCAATATTCAAATAAATAAAGTTCCATTGACAATACGCTGCTTACAAATGAAGCAAGTTTTTCTTGAAATGGTAATGCAATTTAGCCATGTTCAGCCCACAATACAGAATTGGGGAGGAATTTTAATCAATTCATTTACATTTCTTCCAAATTAAAATGCCAGTAAATTGTTTATATTTAGAAAGGAACATACAAGAATTGTAATAATATTGCTGTTTTCACAATAAGATTGGACGCTTGAAAAACGCTTTTACTGCCTGAATGCTTTGTGTATAAGGATATCAGTGCCAGATTTTAGCAGTTTTCTCTAAGAAACATTCCCTATAAACATTGTTATGCATTACATTGATTTTGCAAGTTTCAGCTGAGCCTTAATTGGATGACAAAATGTCAGTCCACTGCGTGATACTCCAAGACGTGCCAAACAAAAACATTTAACAGAATATCTGAGACTGAATTATTTTACAGTAAAACTCCAAGTCATATTATAAGACTGCCTTCAGCTGTACAAGGATGCTTCAAAACACTTATTTTCTACTTTATATATCTTTATAATTTGAAAGGTGCGAGGTTTATTAATGATTCTTTATATACCATTTACTTAAGCAAGGCTGTAATGTTTGATTGTATTCTGTTTTCTTACATCTGACTGGTATATATCTGCAGAATATATGACAAGTGCAAGTAACCTGCCATTTATACCTTTATTGAATTCAAGATATCTTTGATGATTCAAATATAAATGGATTTTATTGCCCTCCACCAGACTTCTAATGTATGCACTGACATTCACATCTTGTGCAGTCCAGCAGACAATTACTATTTGTTTAAAGCTTCATTTAGCTTATACAGGATCACTCATAATCAAAACAGTGAAGAAAAAGGAATAAAGCTTGGAAAAAATCTAAAAAAAAGCCTCACAAAAATATTAATTACATCAGAAAAACAAGAGCATAATTATACCCATCAAATCATAATAAACTGTCCTCTTTATTAGAAACCTCTGCTATATTTAAATTATTATGTTACACTAACAAACATACTAATAAATGGAAACAGGTATTTATAATTGCAGTTATATTCATCTTGTAGTTTTTCCATTTATTTAATTCTATTACACTTTTCCTGTAATTAGAAATCAAGATTTCCGCTAGTGCTGTCACAATTTTCCTTAGAGCTATGTTACTGTAGCAAGGAGAGATTAATGTTCCTCCAACATGCAAACATAGCAGCTTCTCCATTATACATCACACAATATCATAACAAATACAACAATACATGTTACTAAGAAAACTTTCTAAGAGAAATCTGATGTTAATATTAGAATTTGAATTTTGTTTTTTTTTGTTAGTATTTTAAAGATAAAATTAATGTTTAAAACTGAAGTACTCTGCCTTAATATACAGAATACCTGGTTTTTGTTTTTTGTTGTTGTGTTTTTGTTTTGGGAGGGGGGGGGCATGGAGGGTGGGGTGGAAGGGGTTTGGGTAGTTAAAATGGCAATGATACAGTATACAAGGTAGGTCCAGATTTACTGTTGGAGAAAGACCTCATGTGACCCGTTGTATATTATTTCAGGCACAAACCAGCACCTGAGTAGAATTACTTACATTCTGTAAGCTTGGAGAAAATATTTAACAATAAACTCTTCATATTGTTTATATTGTCTACAATTACATCAATGGCTTTAAGGTAACTAATAATGGTTGATTGCATGCTTGATTGTGCTGCCGCAAGACAAAATGAAAAGCTTTTTACCAGTACATATAGATTCTACTTTGTATGATGTTAAACTTATATGCTTTGAAAAATACAAAACTTGACTATAAGAATTAAGCCTGCAATCATTTTGATTTTTTTAATGTTCATAATATCCTTATTAGTTTGCTGGGATAGGAATTTTTGCCTGAAGAAATAATGATTAAACATTTTATCTGAATGTCAAGATATTTTAGGAAAGCACTTTTCAAGAAAATAACAAACTAAAATTCCTTCACAGTCTTAATATACTTTTAACCAAGAAACTAATTTTCTTATGAAATGTTTTTGTTTAAATGGGGAAAAGTTGAGTATTACACTATAGAATTATTATTAATATTTTACTGATTTTTGTAATTCTTCTGAATCGCGAAATCAGTTATTAATACAATCTTATCAGTTTACACGGGTCTAACACAAAGTTTCCGTAACAGACCAGTAAAACGCAAAGTAGTTCTAACTCCGAGAAACTGCTTAAAATACAGCAATTTAATAATAAAGAATATTTTTTAATGTATAGCATTTAACGAATTACAGTTAGAGTCAGTCAATTAGAAATATGTAGGTTACAAATCACAAATTTCGCGGCTGAATAATCATTTTTACCCAAATGAAAATGTTCGGCTGATTTCGCTAAAAGCTTAAACAATGAAATGCTATTTTTAGCTATGTGTGTTACCGAATATACACAACAGAGCATAGTACACATAATCTGACTGTCATAGTGAATGATATCATTTGTACTGTTTGGCAGAATGATTTTAAGAAGATTAATTATAGTATATAAAAATAAACTTATATAGGAAAATACATACAGATAGTCAATATGATTTAGATTGCAAAGATCAGAAAATACCACAGAGGTTGCAGCCCTTTGATTAATAATTGCTGTTTGAAGGACATTATGTGCTAGGTATCATGATTGTCTTATATCTTATGTCAAGTTTAAATCAGTGTTTGTGGTGATTAAATCCATAAACAAAATAGTTTGTAAAATATCCACTACTTTCTATTACTCTGGCCTGTTGACATTATGACTTGTCAATCATTTCTATATTTAGCATTCTCAGATATTACATGTATTATCTTTAGAGCTTACAGCCAGCAGTTTTCAGCTTGGTTCAAGCTATTCAAACCCGATTATGGTAGCGTATACTTTAAAATAGTAGCATATCAGAATGACAGTCTCTATCCTGAAGCCCAATGTGCTTAAAGACAAAAAACTACTAACCTTGTATCACAAAAGGTGAAGGTCATCCCAAGGTCATGTCTTGACATAAACATGTTACCATCCATTCTTATTTCTAGCAATGGTGTTGTCTGCATTGGACGACATATACACAACAGACCATCAGTCACCACAGTGCCAAGTTTCATAGACAGATGACGCTTCATTTTACCCGACCATTGCACCAACTGAAAAATAAAAACATTTTCTGTCTGAAAAACGTAAGCTATAAATCCTTAACCAAAAACTTTCTGGATTCATAAAGGATTATAATGCCAGAGTTGAGAGTCTTGATAAATAACCAAACACTACTTCTTCTTCTTACTGCCCATTACATCCTCTGGTGTATGGGGCAGCAAACCAATTACACTACTGGTTTCAAGCAAACTGTCACTTTCAGTAAAAGTTATGGTTCTAGGATAGTGATATTCTGGTATCATCATATTTATATACAACTTTAGAAAATTTTGTACTAACCAAAGGCATTATGAAGATAAGATATACTCAACTGGAAGTTTTAATACAACATTTATCTTTTATCTTACTGCTTGCTGGTAGCCAACACAAGAGAGAAATAACTTGACAAGCAGAAGAAAGCTGCTCAGATAGAAAAACTCATAATTTTAAGAAGTACTTAAATGCCAAAGCTACTGATATTACATATCATAAAACTCCTGACAAAAGCAAAGTATGTTAGAGGGTTGGAAAAGTTCAACATTATCAAGTCATTCATTAATCACATATAAACCAGTTATTTTTATGTTTCACTTTTAAAATGACAAATAGTATAGAAAGCAGACATGTTGTAAACATATTCAAGTTTTCCATGTCAAAACTCTGGTCTGAAATGTAAATGAAGACATTTTTTTCCCCATCCAAGGACAGCCGTTACTTTCACAGCCTTCGTAATTTATCAAACAAAACATGAAATGACACATGAACAAGACAGCAACATTTTACACATTAAGTTTTCACTTATTTGGTAAAGGAATACATCATCGTTGTAATGAAAACTGATGCGAAATTGCTGTACCTACAAAATATATATTATTATGGCCACTCAGCATTTCACACTTTACACATGAAGATTGTGGAAGCTTCATATATGCATAATGCATGTTCATATATGACTTTTTTATTATGTACATGCAGCTTCAATAAGAATACCAGTAGATCATCAAATTTGGTATAAAAGAAAACTACATAAAACTTCCATTACAAACACTGAAAAATGCATTTAACTTTTTGTTGATAAAAACTTACAAACAAACAAACAATTGTAAGTATTATAAGTCTTTATTTGTTTAAGAAATTTTTAAGTTGTTTTGGAATAAATATGAAAATGCAAAATTTGCTCTGCTACAAAGCTATTATTATGTTAGGCTTTCAACTTCAAAAATGAAATTTCTAAAAGTAATATCTTTCTCCCAAATGTCAGTGTAAATAATTGATTCTCATATAAAATGCTTTTAAAAATGACAAAATTTGATTTTCTTTCATTTTTCCTCCCTTATAGTTAAAGCATTTACCAAGAAAATTATACCAATGAATTCCCTATGCTTTTTAAATTATGAAATATCTCATCTGATCCAACCTTAAAATACCAGGATTGTCAACAAAAGTCAATCATCTAGGCTGCTTTATTAAAAAACTTTATCAAAAACAATTCATTTATCCATCAGACAAATTATAGGTCCATCACTCAAAACAGCTGCAGTCAGATAAATAATTGAATTCTAATTTTTTAATGCACTTAGTCAGTGAAAATGGAACATATGTATTACATTTCTACATTTTGATTGCTAAGAATTCCTTTTCCTTTATAAAATATACGACATGAAAACAAAAACCTGCCATTTTAAAAATACATGTATGAATTAGTCATTGGTAAATTTTACTTCATTTGTAAGAAAAGCATTATGTGATTTCAGTTTGTACATTATTAAGTTATTGTTCCATTAACCATCAACCTATTTGGCATTATGTGAACCTACATTAATACATTAACCTGCCAATACAAATTCATTTGATAGAGGAGAAAATAATATTGTGCCATTTCTGTCAAGATTAAACATTTCTTTTTTAAAGACATTTCTTATCATGCTTTCCATTAAAATCTGTTTACACCTGCAATAAAATCTTCATATTTTTTTTTTAGAAAGTCCATAACAAACAATCCAATTTGAAGGATTGTTACTACACCCATATAACTTAATCTATTTTTATCTTTATAGCATTTAAGATCCCTAAATTCATGAATAAATACAGTATCCAAAGACTGCAGTCTATATATAAATATAATGTCATTCTCAATCGTTGAAATGACAATTAATTTATTGAGGAGAAAAACTTTTGTTGTGTTTTTTTTTCGCATTTTTTCTCTCATTTTGTACTAAAGTGGCATATTCTTTCTATTGTTTCAGAAAGTTCCATCTTTATGCAAAACTTACAAGATTGCATGCCTTATCAACAAATAATTTCACCTAGTTATAACACCCAGACAATCAGTAATTGCTTAGAATCCTTATTCTTAAGTCAATAATGCACAATCAATAAAGATTCCTTCATTGTCAAAAGTTTTTATGTACCTGTTTTACCTGAAAAGTTAGAACTTCTGCATAAATGCAGATAACTATAGACCCCTGAGTTTTTTTCCCAAGCAATTATGCCCTATCATATCTCATATTATCTCAATATAATGGAAACAGTTTGATTGGATAAATTAATCAATGTAACATTGGTATGGAAAACTCTCCTGGTCATATCAATCACTTTCACCAATTGTTCTTCTATTGTGCTTCACACTGTTCATATTTAATACAGTACAATTGTGGAATTAGGAAAAACCAGGACATCATCATCAATATTTAACTTATATCAGATTATAATTATATGTCATGCCTACCTATAAGTAATGCCAGAGATGTAACAATGATTGTTTCTGAATGTTCATTATGTTGACAAAATACAATATGGCGGTATGATCATGGCCAAAAGCAGACAGCATTTTTTTTTTGCAAAAGATGACAATGGGCAACAAAAAATTGCAAAATCCCAACATTATCTTTGCAAATACCCAACCTATCTTACATAAAAAGACTATACAATTGATGTGTTAGAGGCTGTCTTACCAAAACTTACCCAAACAACATATTATGTCCTCTAACAAAATAAACCTGCAAGAGGGCATGTTTTATTCTCACAATCTTCCCAAACAGACAATGGTGTCTACACTTAAAGAAATGACCGCTATGCCACTCACAGAAATGCCATTAAGGTAGACAATTTGGCAACTGATGTAATCCAATTCATTATACTGACAATGGACTGACATATCCTAGAACAATGCCTTTTAAAAATGTTCAACACAAAAAGTACCATATTTATATTGTTACATGGTATGTTCCATCAACAGTTGATAAATCCCTATGTAACATTCATAGGCAAAAATATAATATTTAATGATTGCCTAATGATGTTCCAATAATGAATCAGTTTGACATCTACTGATTTATCAAGGTTTAAATTAAACAATTTAATTGAAAAGAGCAACGAACCTGTCAATTAACTTCAGATAATTGACAGATTCTTTTCTCCTTTTCATTTTGGGATGGAATGGATAAAACTTTAACATACCAGTTATTATATTGAACATTTCTTAATTTTTTTTTTGAACTTTTGTCCATATTTTATAAAATGGAAGTAGAGTACTCACCATGAACCCAGTATGTTTAGCTTTACTACCAGGTTTCCGTAAGTTAAACTTCATCCTCACATAAAATACTCTTTGTGGTTCTTCTTCGTATGGAGATATAACTGAAAATATAAAATTATAAATGATATGAAAATCAAACAATGGTCATCTAAACTGTCTTCAGATAACAACCATGGTTATCTAGCTGTTTTATGACAACAACCATGGTCATCTAGCTGTTTTATGACAACAACCATGGTCATCTTACTGTTTTATGACAACAACCTTGGTCATCTTACTGTTTTATGACATTAACTATGGTCATCTAGCTGTTTTATGACAACAACCATGTCATCTAGCTGTTTTATGACAAAAACCATGGTCATCTAGCTGTTTTATGACAATAACCATGGTCATCTAGCTGTTTTTATGACAAAAACCATGGTCATCTTACTGTTTTATGACAACAACCATGGTCATCTTGCTGTTTGATGACAACAACCTTGGTCATCTAAGCTGTTTTATGACAACAACCATGGTCATCTTGCTGTTTTATGACAACAACCATGGTCATCTAGCTGTTTTATGACAACAACCATGGTCATCTTGCTGTTTAATGACAATAACTATGGTCATCTTGCTGTTTTATGACAACAACCATGCTCATTTAGCTGTTTTATGACAACAACCATGGTCATCTAGCTGTTTTTATGACAACAACCATGGTCATCTTACTTTTTTATGACAACAACCTTGGTCATCTAAGCTGTTTTATGACAACAACCATGGTCATCTTGCTGTTTTATGACAACAACCATGGTCATTTAGCTGTTTTATGATAATAACCATGGTCATCTTGATGTTTTATGACAATAACTATGGTCATCTTGCTGTTTTATGACAACAACCATGGTCATCTTGCTGTTTTATGACATCAACCATGGTCATTTAGCTGTTTTATGATAATAACCATGGTCATCTTGATGTTTTATGACAATAACTATGGTCATCTTGCTGTTTTATGACAACAACCATGGTCATCTAGCTGTTTTATGACAACAACCATGGTCATCTTACTGGTTTATGGCAACAACCATGGTCATCTAGCTGTTTTATGACAACAACCATGGTCATCTTACTGTTTTATGGCAACAACCATGGTCATCTAGCTGTTTTATAACAACAACTATGGTCATCTAGCTGTTTTATAACAACAACCATGGTCATCTTGCTGTTTTATGACAATAACCATGGTCATCTAGCTGTTTTATGACAACAACCATGGTCATCTAGCTGTTTTATGACAACAACCATGGTCATCTAGCTGTTTTATAACAACAACTATGGTCATCTAGCTGTTTTATGACAACAACCATGGTCATCTAGCTGTTTTATGACAATAACCATGGTCATCTAGCTGTTTTATGACAACAACCATGGTCATCTAGCTGTTTTATGACAACAATTATTGTCATCTAGCTTACATGGTTACCTATACTCTTTTCAAACAGCAGTCATGGTCATCAAGCTGTCTTATGAGATATACATTCTTTAAACAATAATTAAGCATGAAGCAAACTCTTTTCAGTTTTGTAATGGGCTTTATATTGCAGCAAACCTGCATAAAACAATTTGCATAGTCTATTTAAATATATTTTTACCATTTTTTTTAAATTATTCATTTTTCTTTCTTCTTTTTTTTTGGCCACAAGAAAATATCAAAACTTTGAATGATTGTAAACAGTAATAATCCCTAAATCAAGGAAAAAATTATCATTCATGCTCAGATTTTCAATAAATTTCTATATAGCCAGACAAGCTGTGATATTTGAGTTAATAGCCAGAAGTAAAGTCTAGAACCAGATAATCCCCTCAGTACGACAAAACAATTACTTTAATAGGAAAAAATAAATTGATTTGCTGTAAAAGGAAAGTTTCACAGACACTAGACAGTCCTGGAGCATGTGGTATATATATTATATATATATTATCTGATAATTATACATGTACTATTGTTACAGAGACTGTTTGTTTTATAACAGTACATTTTCATAACAGTTAATCCTTCAATTGCTAAAAATGAGTATTTGGGGTTTACCCAGCTTTGATTATGGAGCAGGCCATTCAAAAGTTAAGGGATTTTAATAACAAAATACAAAAACTAGAGCTACCAACAATATAGAGCCTGGTCAGACTGTACGGACGGACGGCAGTGACAAAAACTAATAACTTTTAGTTTTCAGCATGAAATTGATATGACTGAGAGGATAAAAATAATTAAATTTTAGTATCGTCAAAGGAATACTTTTGGCTGGCTGTAAATTAGACCAAAATGACAATACATTACACAGTATATTTGTGTGATGGCATTTACATGTATGATTGATTATTAAATACATTGCTAGATAATCTACCATAGCAAATTTACCACATATACATACACAATTTGTCATTTACAAAGGTAACAATAATTTCCTTGCTTTTAGTGCCAACCTAAAATATTCAATTTTCTTCTTATGGCCATTGTTTCCATTACTTAGTGCTGCCAAATCCAATATCTAACATCAGCACAAATTTCTACAAGACCTTTGCTAAAAGGTTATAACTTATAACTATAATGAATAACAAAATTAAAAACATGATTCTTAAGAAAAATGGAAGATTTTGGCATGCTATTGAAAATTTCCGTTGTTTCGATTTAAACTGATTTGAACAGTTAAATTAACTACAGATTATTAGCTAGCAAGACTTACAAAAAATTATGTGCAGATCAACCTTACAAAATATTTAAAATTTCAAAAATGAAGAAAAAGTTGTCTTAGAAATTGTGAATTATGTTCAGCATTTATTTTTTATTTGATAATGAATAAAACAAGATATCAGAAACCACTCTTGAAACAATAAATAAATATAAATTTATCAAACTCCATTAAGTCTGGAGAGGTTTAACCCCTCTTCATCAAGCAGTTCTAAATCAAATATTACTTTTCTTTTTACAAACTTATAAACTCCTTGATAAACATTGGAGGTCCATTTGCACCACCGCAGACCAGACAACCTCTTAATTACAATTACTGTATCTAGCTGCTGTATCAATTATAAGGAATGCTTTCAATGTTGCATTTATTAGACCTAAAACATCATACAAAGGAATATGTTCAAATCAGCAGAATGATTTCATAATGATATTTGCAAATATCCTGATTTCAATGGCAGGCTGATGAATAATGCATTGAGCTGGATATATAATCACTGTTCCTATCAATTGTAGCAGAAACAGCCATCAGAAGAATCCAATTTTACTCAACAATCATTAAGATTATTTTAACAAAAATAAAAAAAATGGCATTCTCCTACATGTGATCAACATGTAACTATTCTGGTGCAATGGATTTTTTGTCTGTCTTCAAAATAATGCTGTCAATCAATATTGATTACTTGACATTTCAAGGCTCAGCAGCCAACATGATAAAATCTGGTATGTCTGCTACATGCCAATTCCCAGGCTCTCAAGGTATACAGGCCTACCATTACAGCCCCAACTAATTCTCCATTTCCTTATAATCTATCATGTTTTAATATATACAAAATATAACACAACTTTAGGGGAGACATTAGAAAACACATGAATATGAAGGCATGTTACTTAAGTCTTTATGTTTAAAGCAAAATAATTTTATAAAATAACCAACATGACTGCTCTCTGAGACTGAGAAAAAATTACAGATAAAATTACAGGCAATTGTAAACAAAGCTTATTAATTAGCCTCCCCCCTTTGTCTTCATTATAGAAGAATAGCAAGAAGTTTCCACTTATTACCCAATTTGTTTTTAATATTACCTCCACTTTCTATTAATTAGCAAGAAAACATAGAAAACATTAACAAGATAAGTGTAGGTTATCAGGTAAAGATGAAAGAAATCTACAGTACATCTCTATAACATTCTCTCTCTTCAAGGTTATTTACTCCTAATGTTTTCCTCATTCATGCTGTATACAGTGTAATAAGTTCATATCTGCCACAATGTCACATTTGCCCTGATGATCATAAGAGAAACGGGTTGGCAAATAATTAAATAAGTGGACTCATGGACTGTGTTTTTGTTTTATATATATATATAATATATATATATATATATATATATATATATATATATATATATATATATATATATATATATATATATACATACAAGAACACTGTAATTGGTATAAAATTTATATCATGCTGAAATTCTAAAATGGACTTGTCCAGCTTCAAATCCATTTTGGAAACTACACATTATCAACTTTGGGGATATCAATATAAAAACTTAGTTGGACAATGGTGTAGTCTGGTTACTCATGGCTAGCTCTGTTGTAGCAAAGACTAATCTCTTTTTGTTACATCTGAAAACTAATTCAACTTTGTTGTTAATCACAAAATTGAAGTAAAGTTCTCAAGTTTCCTAATGCTACAGAAATTTAAGGACTTAATTAATATCTAACTATCAAACATGTTTTATCACTAAATAAAAAGGAAATAATAAACATTTCCCTTTTGAGGACAGGTGTGTATTTAAGTAATTAATAAAATGAAATATATATTCTTGTAATTTATAGACTTATTTTATATGAGCAGCTATAATATGGTATGTGGGTGAGTCATGCAGTTATTACACATATAATTACATAGGGAATCCTATTATACAAGCTAATATCTTATTTTCCCTTCAGCTTTATTTTTTCATTGCTTTAAGAAATAATACCTCTTTAATTTATAAGATGCATGTTATAAAATGATGAATGTTTAAAATATTTCCTATAAATGGCATTCTCATGACTCTGCCAAGATATGTTACAGTTATACATACATCATTCTGATAACAGAGTACATATTACAAGGGATTTACCTATTATAATGACAACATATGATAAAAAAAGACAACTCATTAGTGGCAGGACATGATAATATCTGCAATTCTTTGTAATAACTAATATAACATATTCATGTTTTTTTTCTATGAATACATGATTAAATAATAATTGGTTTCCAACCATCATATGCATATCTCTGATAAGAATATTTTTTCTATATTTTTTCTTAGAGGTGTATAGCAGAAATTTGCTATGAAATCAAGC